CACCTTGAGGCCATAGCAGATGCAGCAGCCTGCTTATGACAGAAAGGTGGCAGATTAAATCATTAGTGGAAATAGTTTACTGTACTGCTACGTGGGAGGATTTTGTACCAGTCGACACATAAGTTAAATTCAGTTTGAGTTATGTGTCGGTGAAAGTAAACATTAACATGAAGGGTGTGAACCACATAACATTGCGAGCAACCTGAGGATAAATGGAGGAAAACAGCTCTTACTTTGAGGGGTTCCAAAGAGTTTATAGATTTCTAACATCCTTTACCACATGGTTCAAGACTGCTAAAAATAAAACAAAGCTAAGTCAGCCCTCTGAAACCCAAAACCCAATGGCAGTATGGAGAGGCATGCGGTCTTTAAAAAAAATAACAAAATTATGCTTTTTTTTCTTAAAGTATTCATCTGTGACATGTCGTTAGTTACCAAACTTACAACAGCTAAGCTTAAAATCAATATATTTCTTCAAAATCACTTCATTCTACATGTCTTTTTTAAAACTTTGGAAAAACCCTTAAGGGCAATCGTGACAGAGACTCAGAGGATTTTAAACTAAACTGGGCTGAACTGCAGGCTGTGCTTGCAGAAAGCAGACAGGTCATAAAAAAAAACGGAAAACAGAAGTAGTTAAATGTCTTCAGGACGTAAAGTTTGTAGTAAAACCTGTAGGAAACTGAAAAAATGTTTCACATGTTGATTCCAGACTTTTTTCAGGTTTTGCCAAATAAATAATCAAAGACATTAAACATTTTTCCTCTTTATGATTTATGGCATTGTCACCTTGTCAAACTGCACAAACTGCATTATTTTTGAATTGTTTCTACTTCTAGCCATGGTGCTGTTGTTTCCATCGGGGTGCAGGACTTTACATTGCAGTGAAAAATGAACCCACAGTGAGTAAACATGTGACAGGTGCAGAATCTGCAGGGCTCAGGAGGTTAATTGACAGGTCAGAACTGTCTACAATGCTTTTTCTTTCAGATTAGAAAGTTGGCTTCGCTGTCAAGTCTGTGCAGTTAGGACAGAGCTGGAGGCAGGCGGTGATTTGTTTAGCTTAGCATAACCACTGAAAGCAGAGAGAAGCCGCTAGCACGGCCACGTCTAAAGTTCACAAATTTATATCTCAGTACCAGCAGTATAAATAAATAAATACATAAAAAACGATTTACTGAGTTTTTGCTTTTTCTCCTGGAACTTGAAAATAGAAACCCTTTACACATCTGCCCAGTGGACCTCTCTGCAGTGCATCCCTGACTATAGCGCTGGTTGCTTGGCAACAATTATTGCACCAAGCTGTTTTTTTGTGAAGAAAAAGTTAAAGCATGTTCTCTGAGACCTCAAATTGAGCTTTTTAGATTTCTGTTTTTGTGACTGAACAAAGCTTCAGAGGTGCTGGTGGGCAGAATTTTGAGCTTCAGACAAAGCTGGTGTGTTTCCTGCGATGCTAACTGGCTGCTAACGCAACACGTGTTTTCAAACCCTCCCCTCATATACGCACATCCCAACAACTATTTCCTTCAGTTTGTTCCTGAGTCAAGGCTTTTACATTGTTCTGACAGCCTGGTACTTGTCACACTGGTTGTGAAATAGGTTTGAAGATGAAAAATTTGAACAAAACCCAATTTGAAGCATATTAAAACAAAACAAAGGAAAAAAAAATCCCTTTTCATTTCCTCACCGACATGTAGAATCTACACAATTGTCTGCCTGCACAAAGGTGGAGGCTGAGACTGAGGGAAACCCTGCACAATATATTGTGGCATTAAATCAAATTTAAAGATAACATGCATGTAATTGCTCACCGTCAAAACTATTTATATCAATAATTTCATGAACATTAAATCATCAGAAACAAGATTACTGTCATCACGACCTCTGATAATCATCTACATTCAGAACACTCATGTCACTGCAGAGAACACATTGATTCATTGTAACTGTGTACGTGTTTGACTTCTGGGCTTCTCTAACGGAGTCTCATACAGTTCAGTAAACTTTTGAACCTTCTTACACTCGTTTGTCCTCCGACTCTCCTTACAATGTTTATTTACATGCATGATTCTGCGTTTACGTCGGCGGCGGCATGCGCGCTTGTGTTTGCGCTGAATTCCTCGCATGTCTTGTTGCAGCTCTGACATACGGCACATTTAACCACAATGCCCTCTGAGCTGAACACGAGGCAAGAGGGACAAATTAGAAACTGAGAAACAGGTTTCTATAGTCGGCGAAGGAGAAAGGAACGGGAGGGAGGAGGGCTGAGGCTCTGATCACATGCAAATACCTCACACACGGGGGATATAGGTGTTTACGTAGGGAAAACAAAGACTCCTATTATAGATCAACTTTTCTGACTCATACAAGTGGGCTGATGTGTACGTGACGTACGAGCTGAATGAAGTGGAGAACCAGTGGCTGATCTAGTCCTGTGGTTCTGGTGAGCCGGTCAGTCTGACTCGGACTCGTGGCTGCCAGTGGCCTTTTCATCCCAGCTGTCCATCACGAGTCCCACAGTGCCTCCCCTAACCCCCCTTTCAGGCGGCTCTTGGGTCCTAGTGGCAGGGAATGAAAGGCAAACTGAGAGCTTAAATGGGTCTGCAATGTTACACCACAACAGAGCCCATAACCACCATGCCACCCCTCACGCCGTCTCGGGTCTTTGAAGAAGATATTTATAAACCATTAGTGTGGCAGCGAGGGCGAGAGCTGGCTGTTTTATCTCCCAGATCTGTCATGTGTTACCATGCACGAGGCGAGCCGCGCTGACAAGAGTGACAGAGTGAGGGCTGATAGGGACGCTGCCGCACAAGTCCAGGGTCGAACACGGCGGCCCCCCGACTGCCTCGCCACTTTACTGCCTGTGGGGCACGGGGACGGCTTAATGCAATGCGACTGTAATTAAGAAGCTGAGTGATCTGATTTCAGATTTCCACTGAGCTCTCATCAGAGAGGAATTACAGGATGAGGATCATAATCTGCATGAAACATCAGATGACTCCCAAGTTCATCATGAGAAAAGGTGCAGAGTGAGAAGGGATTTGGACGCATGTTCTGGAGACTAAAACAGCACTCTGTCCAATGTCTGTTTGACATGAGGGGAATACACTGTTCTCCATTAAAAAAAAAGAAAATCTGGAAAAACTGGTAACAAAGATGCTGATGAAAAAAAGGTTTTTAAAACACAGTAGAATACCATCATGTCCAAAAACTGTAAAATTAACAGGAAATATCTCTATACTATTGATATTTCTTAGCTGATTTAAACACAGTAAAGCAGTGCGATGTTAATGTTTGTAGGATGTAAAAGAACAAATTATTTGTAAAAATACAGATTTTTGTTTGTGTACGGTTGTATTTACACTTTATTTTTAAATAGTTAACATATTAATGAATGTGGTTTTTATTCAGATTTTACTAGATATTATCTATAATTTAACAAAACTCACAAAACAAATAAGAAAAGACTTAATATTTTCCAATCTCTATGATACACAATTCTTCTTTCAAATAACAGCAAATATCAGTAAATAACACTGTTTACTGTTAAGTGAAGTACAGCCCCCGATCTCAATCCCCCGATTTGACAAGTTATCTATAATTTTGAACAAATCTTTGTAAATGTGTAAAACAACAGTGAACTGTTCAAAACAATTACAATTAAAAACTGTTTAAAAAAAGCATTTATTGTTTTTACAGTTTACTACTCTTGTGAACATCCAATAAAAGGATGCAACCAGCTGCTGGTTAGCTTAGCTTAGCTTAAAACTAGAAACAGGGGGAATCAGTGGATCATAGCCTGACTAATGTTGGACTTTTAAGGTTGACGTCAGTGACACTATTTGGAGCTTTAAAAACTTTGTCAACAAGCGTGATGGCCAATAGTAGAATTATAACTAACATACAGAGCAATTCAGTCATTTTAAAAAAATCTAATTGTGGTTTCTGGTGATGGAGACGCTGTTTATAAATGACCTCAAACCTAATTTAATATTTGCAATTTTCTGATGCTTATCAGCTGAGATACAGATTGTATCAGTGTGTCAGTCTGGTTGATTGGTTGAGGTCCAGCCCAAAGGCAAACCAAAGTCTAAAAAGACATGACTTTATTATTTTCTGTTGGTAATGTGTTGGACGGTTTCTTGACCAAGCAAATAACTTCCTGGAGTCTCTGCTGGTTGCCTGGCAACAGCCCAGGACCTCTATATAACAACAAATTGGTGTTTTTACGTTCAGGGTTTTGCATTTCCACTTAAAGATGTGCTTTGATTGCTTCTCTTTGAACTTTAATACAGACTAAATTCTTCTCAAAGGTCTGAATTCAACTTTTACCAATCACTCAAGGGTTAAGTCTCAAAGCCCAGATATAGATTTTATGAAGTGGAATTCAATCCATATGACTGACGTTGAGGTTACCAGTCAATATGATCAGCAAGGTTCCTTCATGGACTGAGCCTTTAGCTGTGTGGACAAAACACATTAAACCAAATCTATAAGCTTTCAGAAAACATAACCAAAACGTCTAAACTTAGATTTAGTCGCGATTTGAGAGCAGCACAAAAATCTGTAAACACACTTTTTCAATATTATCCACTTTTGCAGTTAGTATAGAGAAGATGTTAGCAAGCAGCTGCCGACTTTCACACCCAGGACAGGAGCCGGTCCAGTACTAAGTCTTATTTTAGCTTTGTTTTTGGTCTCTACCAACTCCTGAGGGAGAAATCAATCAATCAATCAATCAATCCAACTTTATTTGTATAGCACTTTTCAAACAAAGAAAGCAACACAAAGTGCTTTACAACCATTAAAAACACTAAAAACAAGAAAACCCGTCCCCCCCACCCTCCATATACACACACAACCACACATACACGCACACACACACACACACTCAACCGTACACTCTCACCACTGACAGTAGGGAGACATGGCCGGGCACTGAGGATTGTGGGAAACGCTACCATTGGGTGCATCCACACTGGGAGGAGCAGCAGGCCATGACTGCCAGGGGCGTTGGCACCAAGACCCAGACAGGAGGACCCCCACACCAAGGTGGGGAGCCCCCCAACCAGCCGGGCCAAAGGGACCCGTGGACAGCACCCCCAGCAGCAGACCGTTTACAGCCCCCAGTGTGGAGGACCCCCCGCCTAAGGAAACACTGGAGCTAAGAAGAAAAAATTTAAAATATGAAATAAGATAAAAGGCCTGATAAGTAAAAATAAGAAAAGAAAGTTAAAAGAGTAAAAATACACAATATGAGAAGAAAGAACGTAAGAAGGAAAATAAAAGGTCAGTTAAACGCTTGAATAAAAAGGTGGCTTTTAGGCATCAAAACACTCCACTATGTTCACCAGCTTGTTGCTGATTTGGTTGGTGTGCTGGTAACATGTAGTGTACACTGGGTCTTTAGAGATTTTGCTGAAAAGATTAGGTTGTTAAGTATTGTGGGGTCCAAAATACTAGAATTGTGAAGTTAAAAAAAAAAAAAAAAAAGAGTTGGACAATTAATGTCTGTGTGTTTATCAGCATACTTAGCCATTTGATCAACTATTCATATAAAATATTGACAAGGACAGCTTTAATCGAAGGCCAGAACCAGTCATGAGATGCTCTTTCACCAACACAATACAATTGTTGTAAAAACAGACCTTTTATTTCGTGCTACATAAATTAAAACCATCTAACCACACGACTGCTTTCAGATTTGTTAAAACTAAAAAATAATAGTAATAATAATAATAATAATAATAATAATAATCATGTAAAACACAATCAGTAGCTAAGTAATCAATTTCAAAGTTCAAACATACAGAGCACTGGAAAAGATTTTTATAAGCAAAATCCTTCCATAATTCGCTGCAATACACCTGCTCATGCTCATACTGAAACCACAGCGAGGTTCATGCTCGCCACACCTTACACCTCAACGTCTATCTTTACCTTAAGAAGAGAAATGAGGTGATTAAAAATTAACATCACTTGCTGTTCAAGCCATTACATATAGGCTAAATCAATATTTTAAAAAATACCTAATTATAGCATGCTATTTTAACATGTATATAGGACACAGTAGCCAGACATCACTGCACATATTCTGCCCTAATCCTAGTCTAATATTTTAGTTTTTGAAAAAAGGAATAAATGATGCCATGAGAGAGACAATAGCTTGAAAAACAAACCATCTTTGTAGAGTTGGAAATGCTGGAGAATTGCAGTGAGAGCGAGAATTTAAATCCTCAGAGAGATAAACATGGAGACAAGTCAGATAGTCAGTAATGATTTCTCTGCTGTTTATGATATCCAACCATCTGATACGGATGAACCCAGCTGACAGTCTGGTTCCACCCACGCACATGTCCACCTACGGTTCTGCTGAGGAGTCTGGACAAAGGTGAGAGTAGAAAAAACAGGAAATAAGTCCTGCAAGAGTCCAGTTTTCTGTCCGTCGCTGTGCTTTCCTACAGCATTTAGTGCACGGACATGTTGACAGGTCAGTTTAACCCAATCGCCAAAATATACCCAATTTAGATGACGCTCACATGGAAACCAGCTCAATATTAAACAAGTAAATAAATAAATACAAATACAAGGGGCTGTGTTGATCAGGCTACTAGCGAGGCAGTTAAATATGATCGAAGAAGCAACAGAAAGCTCCTCAAAAACAAAACACTGTAGAGTTCATGTGACACAAGACTTTTACTACATCAAATTTTTTTAACTGCGTTTTTTGTGAACATCTTACTGTAATTTATGGAGCTAAAACTAAAGTGTGTTCAATGCATGCTTTTGTTTTATCTGTAATTCAACAAAACAGAAAATAAAATCTCTACCATAACAGTAAATTGTAAAATAAATTTTAAAAAACAACATTGAAAAATGTTCAAAAATGTCATTTTTTACAGTGTAGCCTGACAATAGACAGAAAGCTGCTTGCAATCATACTGGTGCAGTCTTTAACGGGAACATACACGTGTTTACTTTTCATTTATATTTCAATCAGACTAAAGGAGGAAAAGATCCAACAGCTCCAGGAGAAAAACAACCTCCTGGAAGCAGACACTGCACACCTCCAAGAGCAACAGGTGGAGCTGGAGATGAAACATCTGGTGGTGGAGGAGGAAGAAGACAGTCGTGGAGCAGCAGGTGAAAGACCTCCAGGAGGAAAAGACAGAACTGATTGAAAAAGTCAACGCTGGAGAAGCAACAATCAGCTGTCTGGAGAGTCGCCTGCTGTCCAGTGACGAGAAGGCCAAAGAGGAGAAAGAGGAACTGTTCTCCCTCCGTGAAGAAACCCGGCGAACGGAGGAAAAGAGCAAAGAGCTCCAGGAGGAAAACAACCTCCTGGAAGAAGACACTGCACACCTCCGAGAGCAAATGGTGGCGCTGGAGGGAAAATATCAGGAGGTGGAGGAGGAGGAGAAGACAGTCCTGGAGCTGGACAACCAGGAGCTCCAAGATCTCCTGGTCAACAAATCAAAGTGGAGACTTTTCAAGAGGCTGTCAGAGGGGGAGAAACAAAAGCTGAAAGAACTGAAAGAAAAGAAAAAGAAGGAACAGAAAGAGAAGAAAGAGAGAGAGAGAGCTGAAAGAAAAAAAAAAGAACAGAAAGAGAAGGAACAAAAAGAAATAGAGTATAAAAAGAGGAAGAGAAGGGGCTGGTTCTTCTGAACTAGTCTCCCCCTCTTTCTCCACCTTCCTTCTGCCTCCCCCATCTTCCCTCCCCCTCCTTTTGTCCTCATTCTTTCTTCCTTCACCATCACCATTCCACCACCTCCTCCACCTTCAGCCAACGCTCCATGCATCCTCTTCTCCTTCCTTCAGCCTCTTTCCTCTACCCCATCTCCCCTCTCTCCCCATCCCTTCCTCTTCCACTCCTCTCTCCCCCATCCCTAACCCTCTTTCACCCCTCTCCCACACTCTTCTATCCCTCTCTACCTCCCCCCTCTTTCCTCCCCCAAAGGGCAGCACGGTGGCTCAGTGATCAGCACTGCAGCCTCCCTTCTCCGGGATCTCCGGTTTCCTCCCACAACCCCAAAAACGCAACCCTTAGGCTAATTGGATATTCTAAATTGTCCCCCAAATAATTCAAACAAATAGCACCAAAAAATAAATCAAAAGAAAACATATTTGTGCATGTGTGTGGTTCTAATGAATGAATTACACCTGCAGCTCATTCTGGCTGCTGGCTGTTGCTCTTGTACTAACACTTGTGGTTTTAACATCGACAGGACTACAGATTTCTGAAGGGTATCATAGACAGAGAAGTGATTCATTGATCATTTGCAGGAAAGTGAATTCTTTCAGCAGCTATAGTCACAGGTAAGATCCTACATCTAACACTGACCATAACAGAAGTACTGAATCTGACTCAAAACTCAGGATGAGGTTTGAAGATGTTTGTGAAATGTGATGTTCAAATGTGTGCAAAACTGTCAATGAAAACATAATGTCTGAATATAGAGTGTTCAACAATGTGATGGGTTTGCCTTGAAGAAAACATGAGAAAATGTCTGAAATGTAAAAATGTACAGTGTAAGAATTAGGACAGAAAAATGGAAAATAATTATTTTAACAATTATTATAAGATTTTCTCTGTTTTGTTTGTTACACTATTTAACTGTATTTCAATAAGTTCAAAATAAAAATATTCATCAGGTGTTTTCTGGAATTTTTACCGCCAGATTTTCACAGTTTTCCACCAGATTTCTTCTGAGCAGGATTGAGGCATTCACACCAACAATTCACTGATGGTTTCTCAATGCAATGTAGCATAAAAGTTGAGACAAGTCCAATCAAGTCCTCTACATCTGCACCGCGGCTACTTCAGCACAACGTTGATGACATATTAACAGTGCTGTTGTCCAAACCTTATAACTTCTGCTCATGCAGGCAGATCAGCTTTTTCCTTTTTCTCGTTGAGACTTTTAAACTCTTGACAGAGTAAAATTCACAGTAAACAGATTTTTAAAATGATTAATCTCTTAACACTACATCCTGCTACTACTATTGTTGCTGTTGCCACTAACTCAGGTGTAACTGGACTATAAAATGAACAGTTACTTTGCCTTTTTTCCCCCATTCAGTGGTTTCAAGCATTCAACTAATGATTTTATGTTACATCAGGCCTAAAAGATAAAAACGTAGGTATTTTGTTTGTTGAAAAATGAATAAAATGTTGGAAAATTCAAATTATGTTTTACTTTTTCCCTTTCACTTTTAATAAGATGTAAAAATAACATCAGCACTGAATGTATACAGTTTTTCATAGATGAAGCAAGAGATGCAAAACGATGGCCAAGATCCAAAGAGGATTCAAACCCGTCGGCCTGCTGCAGTCTTTCTGTGTACTTTAGAAGGTCATCTTGCTCAAACTCATAAAAACGCACAAGTCGCTGACATTTTTCGTACACACGGCTGCTAACTGCTGCTTTTTGTCCACCGAGTGTTGCGGCTCTGAGCCTCTGCAGCAGTTTCCACCGTTGCGGCCGGCGAAGTGCACGTGTGACATTTTTCTGCTGAGTGAAGTCGCTTGTAGTCGTCTACTTGACACGCTCGCAAATCACACACATGATGAATGTCGCGCGGTGATTTGTACAGGTAATTTCAGTCATGCTTTACTTCCCTGCTGTACATTACCATGCTAATGTGACACTTTATTGATCCCTGTAGGGAAATGTTCTCTTCGCAGCAAGGTCTAAGTGCAGGGTCAGGAATAGGAGAGCAGCCCTGCAGCTGGTAAAGATTGGTGTCGTGTTGAAGGATGTTTGTCGACACGGGGGCTAAAACTCGTGGCCTGTGGTTGAAGGACGGTTACTAAACTCAATGTGCTGTGGAAAGCTGCCCGGTGTTTCAATTTCGACGTAATTTCCTGTGAGTGAAAGCAGAGATACTGTGTTTTTGACTGCTTTGTAGCTGCACTGCCACACTGACAGATTCATTGATGTAAAAGTAAGCTTACATACACACAAAATAACAGACATTTTAAATGGCAGATTTGAAAGGCATTCTCTCTTTGCAAAATTATCAAGATTACCCCATCTGGAAAAACAGAGAATCACTGCATTTTGAACTTTTCCTCTTGAGCTACTCATCAGTAACTTGCTGTTTGGTTTGGAAAGTGAAACAAATCCAAGCCTAAAATTGTGACATTTCATCTAAACCACTTTAATCTACGTGTTTCATTTAAAAATTTGCAAAAAAAAAAAAAAAAACATTTGCACAAAACAGATTTTGTAAAAACCTAAAAATTTTGCCTTCCTTGGCTCAACCAGGAAGCCATTAGTGACTCAGATGCAATCAACAGTCATGTGACAAAAATTCTGGGAGTTTTTGGCTGAACTGCAGACTTTGTTTACAAAGAGCAGATAAGAGACAAATATCGAAGCAAATGAAACATCTAAGGAAATATCTATAGGATATAAAGTCACTCTTTTCAGTTTTATTTTCCTCCAAATATTAGTTACAACTGCGGGCATTTGGAAAAAGGATTTACATTCCAGGGTTTATCAATTTGTGGAAAATAAGGGAAAGCAATGAAATTCAATTTTTGCATTTTCATGCTATGCAATATTTTTGCTATACCGCTTAGAACAGGGGTGGGCAATCCTGGTCCTCGAGGGCAATCCTGGTCATCAAGCTCTGCAGAAGCCTGATGGCGATCCTGATCATTTGAATCAGGTGTGTTGGAAGAGGGAAACATCTAAAACAAGCAGGACTGTGGCCCTCGAGGACCAGGACTGCCCACCCCTGGCTTAGAAGTACAGTTTAGTTCCCTGTGCCTCTAGTGATGGTTGTGTTGTTCCAATAGAGGTGCAGGACTTTATTTTGAAGTGAAAAATGAGCCCACGGTGAGAAAAAAATGTGACAAAAGCATAAACTGAGGTAGTTTTTCGCTTTTTAATCCTTCAATGTTCTTCATTGTGAAGCAGAATTCACTAAGTGTTGGATTGTTCACCCACTAATAGGGAACGTGAGCTGGGGTTAGACCGTCATGAGACAGGTTAGTTTCACCCTACTGATGATGTGTTGTTGCAATAGCAATCCTACCCAGTACGAGAGGAGCTGTTCTCGGAATGTATGACAAATCCGTTAGTTGCATTCAACGTTATTGAAATGCTGACACTTTGAATCCTCAGCTGTATTCTAATAAAAAGTCTACTTTAACTGTAAGTATCACATTGCATTGGTTAATTGCAATCACAACCTGTGTTACACTGTCATCCCATCAGCCACCATTAGTCAAAGTTATGATAAGGTTTTATGAAAAACTTTATTGCTCTGATGTGGAGACATAGCACCAACAGGATAACATCACGAAAAGTACGTCAGCAAAGTATTTAACCGCTTCGAGGATCACAATTAGTTTTCAAACAAATGTTGTAGTAATAGTTTAGATATGAAAGACAAAATCTGTCGCCTGAAAACATGTCCTGTAAGAGATTTTGCACTGGTTTCTACAGAAAATGCAGAGGTTTTGCCCTTCAGATTATAATACAGTGTTTATGAGCTCGCCTCATCATTTGAACATTAAAACATCTCTTATTGCCCAATTTCCTCTGTAAATCTTTCTTAAACTCACTTCAACAGCAACTAGAACATATCGCATGCAAATTAAAACGTTCAGTAGGCGATGATGTACATGGCACACTGATGATCTGATTTACTTCAGCAATGAAGACACATACAGCTTGGACAGGTCACTGCACAAACAGCCTCAAATCAACTAGAATTCACCTTTTCAAAACCTGTTTGATTAATTTCATTTTATTGTTTGATGAATCTAGAGCTGAAACTCATCATTTGATTACATGATTAGTCAACTGTTGCTTCTGGCTTTGAGCTTGTGATGATCTGCTGCTTTCTTTAGTGGAAATTTCGGTTGTTTTTTTTCTCTTAGACTGAACAAAACAGTCGTCTTAAGGCGTCACTTTTAGTTTTTGAAGCACATTTTTCACTTGATTTTTTTTTTTCTGATCAAATGATTAATAGAAACAATAAACACCAGAATAACTGACGACAAAGAAAACAACCGCTGTGAAGCTCCGCAGTCGTAGTTGGGTGGTAAATAATTGGCTGGCTGATGCTGGCCCAAGGTCAAAAATTGTACATTTCCTCTAAATTGACAAGAGACTGACGAGCAAATTGCACGCGCAGAATGATTATCAGCGAGCGGCGGCGGAATGGACCGAGTGATTAAATTCAAAGAGCTGAAAGAGGCTCTTTTTATTCAGCCACTGGCAGATTCCCAGCAAATAACAAATAGATTCATAAACACACAACGGAGGGAATTTGCGTCAAACACGACGGACCACATAATTCAGCCACATCCCTTTTTCTAGAGAGCTAAATGAAACGGTTTCAATGTGCTCACAGCGAAAGAGAATAAAAGAACACGGAGGCAAAGTCGAGGTCTGTTTGCGTTCGACACAGTTAAGAGCAGCAGTAATTTAAGAGAGGTGAGAGGACTGTAATCAACATGGATTATATCAGAGTGTAAAAGGATTCGATGGCTCCCACACCCTGACATGATGGATTAAGAGAGAGAGGCTTTTAAGGCCTCTCGAGGGTCCGCGTGTGAATGCATTATAAACTGTGCTTTTGTAAAAGTGCTC